TTTTTCTTCAATTAGTTGTTTGATATTATTATTCCAAATCCTTAGCCCTCGTTTTGAGAATTTCTTTTTCCTTGACCCTATTGCTTCTGTTGCTGCCTGTGTTATAATTTGTTTAATGTTTGCCCATTCTTAATTTATATTGTTACTTATAGGGTTAATAATATTTTTCTGGTTGAGTCTACTCTGGTATAAAAGTCTTATGCTTTAATCTTGTAAAAGGTTAACTTTAAATTTTTCTATTTGTTGTTTGGGTTTTAAGATGGTTTTCTTCCATCTCTTTGGAAGTATTATGTGGAATCTTACTTAGAAATGGTCAGATGACACATCAAAACTTCTGAATACTCTTACATCCTTGATATTTATCCAAGTCTTGTTGTTTGCAAGGACGTAATCAATTATAGAGGCGGATCCAGGTGTTATCCATGTGAATTTGTAAATATTTCGGTGTTTAAAGAAAGTGTTAGTAATTTTCAGCTCATTGTATGTGGTAAATTCTATTAATTTCTTCCCATTATTGTTATTATTCACCTTCTGTGCCTACTATATCTGTTATAGGTATATTCCCTACTCTTGCATTTAAATCACCTAATAAAAGAAGATTGTCACTTTTATTAATCTTATTTATTGCTGTCTGTAGTTGTTCGTAGAATGTTATCGCATCTTAGTTCTCCCCTCTTCTGGCGCGTACAAGGCAAAGAATGAAACTAACCTTTATCTACTTTAAATCTCATTGTTATTATTCTTTCGTTTATGAAAGTATACGGTACTATTCGGTTTTTCAATGTTTCAATGTTAATAATGAGTGCAGGATGGTCGTTGAAGGCTTCTACTAAGGTTTTTAATGTTTTAAGGAAGGGTATGTGGTTTGTGTTGGGTGGTTTGTAAATTATAATTATTTCTGTAATAATTGAGTTTTTGAAGTCGTAGGCTTCCGCGGCCACAGTCATGTGGGTGATCTGGGCTGTCCGGGTGACGCCGCGCTGAAGGCGTCGAAGGCTGTGTTGCCGACGTTTCGACCATCCTATCGTGGTATTCCTTGGCTTCCCAGGCATACCAGCCCTGAAGAACTCCACGACAGGATGGTCGAGACGTCAGCAACACAGCCTTCGACGCGGCGTCACCCGGACAGACCAGATCACCCAAATTGAGTTTTTGTCGGTTTTAATGGTGCCAATTATGGCTTCAAATGGGTCTGCAATGCAATTTACAGTATCAAATATTATATTGCTTTTATAAAATGCTAGTATTTCCCCTCCTGATGTAATTTCTCGTAGCGAGTAGCTTTCACAGAAGTCTTTACTGTCATGGAAGTCTATTACTGTTTACCTCTCAATGAATAAAATATTCTATACGCTCTCCAATGAATAAATTTAATCTTAATAGTTTGATCTACAGAACGTAGTTTTGAAAACACCTAGCTAGATAATGCATTCACCTAGCAGGGGTTTCCATCGCCATCAACCTCTCGGATCAAGACATTCTCGACGTAATATGTTCCGACGGCGTTGCATTGCATATAGTGAACGTAGTTCTATTTCATAAAAATCCTACAAAATTCTACTATTACCCAATGCAGTGTCTGCCAGTTAATGTACTAAAGTGACATTTATAAATGTTCATTTATTTTAATATTGCTTGATAATAACGTTATGGCCTGGAATATGTTTTAATTTAAACTATGTCAGAAGAGTCTGAAAAACTGTTTCATTCATACTTATGTCTTAGACATTTGAATTTTAATCATGTACCTTTCAATTATACATGACGTATTAATATAGTGTTTATTCTTACTGTTTATTTTAGCCTTTGTACCCTCGATGCCACATAGGATGGTCGATGCCCTCTGAGGCCAAATCTGCCTTTTCCACAGCTTGTATAACCACGGTTGTACCCTTGACCAATCCTGAAGTCTAGGCCAGGCGGCTCATATCATTAGCTTGGTTCTCTAGTTTCAGACACTTCCCCCTTTCTTTCCTGAAGCTTTTCCTCCTCGTTATCCCAAAGCAATTTCTGAGGTGTAAATAATATCGATCGGTCGGCCTTCCTCGCTAGCGTGGGAAGGAGTGCGAGTGGGAATAGAATAGATTGTTAAGTACGGGCGCGAAAACCAACGCGGCAATTGCTTTGGGAAGGCATGCGAACGCTGACGAACCATAGGCTGCCGGACCCTGGGAGGAGCTGTGGCATATTTTTTCGAACTCTTACCGTGACAAATTAAGCATACTTTATGGAAACTATTACTGTGAAAAATTTTACGACAGAACAAACTGATAGTAAAGAATAACTTGTCATTTTAAACAAGTTTTAAGTGTTAATGGTTACAAAGCAAGAAACGCGAAATATTTTACAATAGTTTGCGGGAAACACAACAGTATAATACATTATTTAATATATGAATATTTCGTATTAAGCATATTTAAATACATGTTCATATTTTTAAAGTATTTTTTTTACGTTCCTTCGCCTTTCTAATCGATAAGTAAGCAATGCACACATTTTATTACGCGTCATGAGATTGAAATCGTCTACTTTTTACTTTCCCGTATACATACGTATCTACGGAGCAATTTATGTAGTATAGGGAAAAACGTGTAATGCTGCGCGAAAAACAGTGGATTTTCGGCAGAAAAAATCATTGTCGGACCCTGGTTTCAGAAAAAGTGACTAAATACAATTGCCAAATGAAAAAAATAAATCCTCTAACACGTGGTGTAGCCAGAAACTCTGCTTTGTGTGTCCTTGATACCAACAAATCAATTGCCGGTAAAACTTCTGTCTGTCCGTCTGTTAGCGCCTAAACCATGCGTCGGATTTTTCCCAAATTGAAAAAAACTCCTGTTCATCTGTATCGAGTCGAACTTTGAGATTTTGAAAGACGTTTTTACAATTTGGGGGTACAAACTGAAGCCCTCCGTACATTTTCAAAATTTTCTCAAAAATGGCTCCAAAGTTTTTCTTTAAATTTCTTGTAAGAATAGAGTAAAATACACTTATAAAGGTGGCATAGATCCCATTTCCTCGGTTAACTGTGAATTTTTGAAAATTTCAAAAGTTTGATTCTTTTCGGGTTCTTCCTACAACTACAAAATTAAAGATAGAGATTTTTCCTTCCGATTAAATTTGTTATCCACAATTTGTTCTTTCATTAAAGTCATGTTCATTTTTTTGAAATATTTGGTAGTTTTTGCACAATATTGAGTGCTATCTTCGCTGTTTAAAAAAAATACAAAAACAGGATTTGCTCAAAAACGGTTCCAATTTTTTTCTTTAAACTTACTGTAGGGGTTTTGCTAAATGAAATCTTGGAAGTGATATTAACGCCTTATTCGTTTGTTTTTACAAAAATTATACATTTTTTAAAAGACCTCTCATTCTAATAATATGCACATTTCAAAAAAATTGTAATAACTATTGTATTTGTGAGTTAATATGCTTTAAATAACTACAAATTAAGTTTTTCCATACCTCAAAAAGTGTCTGTGAAAAAGTGCTTCAAATTTCGAATATACTGTTGCTCTTAAGCGCCATTTTCTTAAATACGTCAGAAAATTTTTTAAACAAAAGTGCCATTTAGGACGATGTTTTACTGTTCTTTAATATTATTAAATTATTTTCGTTCTGCCATTAGGATGCAGAAAAATTGAGAGATTTTCAAAAAAATGTACTTTTGGCGGCGATAGATGGCAGCAGGCATGTATAAATTATGTGGTGAGTTCGAATAGCTAGCTGCGACCAAAGGAAATAGAGAACTAATATGAAAAAGTCTGTTTCTTTCTATAGCTCCACTAGAATATTTTTTCTCAGCTACTGTTTGCATGTATGAGACCCCAAAAAATTAAAGAAACGGGAGAAAAAAGTTGTATTGGAAGGTATTTTGTGAACGAATTTTGACGCCATTTTGAAATAAAAAAGATTATAGCTTTAAACATTTTTAAATTATTACCGAAAATAATTTTCGCCATAATAACGTTGGAGTTTTCTCCGTAGAATTTGTCTTGTAACATTCTATAAGATATTTTTTTCAGATTTTAAATAAGATCATGTGGACAATAAATAAAAATAATTTTATCTGTTTAAAAATTGGAAATTCGCGTCAAAATGTGATTGGAAAAAATGTTTTTACCAATATTTAAACACACATTCAATCACGACTAATAAACTCGAAATATTATATCTCTACATCGATTATTTACCTAAATCGTTTGGATTATCCGTGGTGGAAAAAACGTGGGTGGGCCCTTGCACATTCGAATTCAATGTTCATTACTCATCAGACGTTTCTAAACACTAATTGATATGTATCACACACTAACATTTATAGATTGATTAATTACTAAATTGAGAAATTAGTATTTGATACAGAATCTCCCATATTGAATTAAGTACAGTTTACAACTAAACTTTACAAATTTACTTAACTTCTTCCTAAAAGCGCCATCTTTGCCATAAGTGGAATGTGGTCCGAATTTGATGTGGAACCTGTTAATATTTAATTAATTTCAAGCAGAAATTACGCAAAACTACTCGTGATTTTCAAAAAAATTGTACGTGACCTTTTTTTAAGAGCTAATATTCTACAACAGACATTGATGCAAAAATATCTACCTTCAATTTTATAGTTTTTAAAAGGTTTTGAATATATATGTACTTTCCCCTCCGATAGTTTTCCCTTCGACAAAAAGTATTTTTGTACATGCAACTCACTTTCGTACTGTAGTATCTTCTGACATCTTGCGAGCAGTCTCCTATAGTTGGAACTGGAAACAAATAAATGTTTGCAGGTATTTATAGAGGCTGGTGTTGTTTCCTTACACATGTCGGAACGTACAAGATGGCTTATCTTATCATCTAAGTTTTTTTAACGATTCCATGCACTTTTTTCTACTCATTTATTTCTGCATGGAGGAGCTATCTTTCCCTTGCTCAACCGCAGCCACATGCGCGAGATATAATACCTGAAAAGCTAGCAAGCCTACATCTCAAAACTGAAGTTAGTGGTGATACAACAGAACATACTTTTACGCATTTGGTACCGGCTACGAATTATTGTAATACTACACAAACCTACGTGTACTTCCGACCAGGAAATATTTTTTACTAAGCGCAGGAATTCGAACTTGGCTTTTTAGA